AAACAATGAATCTCAATGGCAGCAGTTACTCCCCTGCCCAGAATGTTTTAGAAGTTTGTGGGGGACATTCTGGTTCACTTGAGGACGCTATTAGTATTCATAGGCAGGGGCCTGGGATACTAAACACCTTGAAATGAAATGGGTCACAGTCAATGAACTGTCCCATGCAACTCTGAATGTCCTACCAGATATTAACATGGGTGAAAAAACAATTTATAATTACCTGAATCTAAACCCTAACTCTATTGTACATATGAAGACTAAGTGCTTTCCCATGGTAATAATAATAATATAGGAATGCAGGAAAACTGAGGAAAGAACTACTTTATTTTCCTCAGAACTCTACCAAGAGCTAGTTACTATTTTAAAAGACCATGTCATTGACAGTAACACCAATCAAGATGTTTAGATCACCAATACAACATACTTATAATAGTCTGCATTTGTAGCTGCTACAATCATAACGATTATATATGCTTCTGACTACTTCATTATGTCATTGAGTATGATCACATCTAAGCATTTATATATTGAAATACAAGTACTTTATTTTTTAATTAATTTATTCTCTTTTATATTATAATAGGGCAGTATATTGATAATTTTTAAATTATGCGTGTAGATAGATTTCATCATCTATGAAATTTATTTCAGGATAGTCAAAGGGGCATTACAAGATATATGTTATAAAAAAGGGGCATTGGGTCTAATGTGGTTGAGAACCATTGACAAGACTGTTCCTGAGAATAAATCTGATCTATAATTACTGTTACAAAAATGGAAAATCTGTCCAAATGATTTTTATTCTAATGATCTATGCAATAAAATAATAAACTTTTAAAAGGTAAAAAGCACAGAATTAAAGTATCCATCAAAACCAAAGATGACAACTAGCAAAAATGAAACATCTCTATATTTGCTGTCTACACATTATCATTATAGATTAAGTCTTCATTAAGGTCCAACAAACACAAATAATACCTAAGCCTGTAATATACTGCTCCAAAAGCTCAGCTTATATAGTAAACTTAAAAAGAAAAAAAAGCTAAAATGTATTGAATACTTCATTACGTGTCAATCAACGATTTTAAAACTTTGTATTAATTTGTTAATGTTGGCAATAATCCTATAAAGTAGATACTTTTATGATTTCCATTTTCATGTGGCAAAGCTAAGGCTCATAGAGGGTAAGTAACTTGCTTAAGAACTCAGAGCCAGAATTCAAGCTAAGATGGTAAAACCTCAGAAATCACCCTTTAATCCTTAATCCACCTACCTGCGACATGAGCAAGTCAGGAAACCCCTCTAGGTTTCATTTTTTTTACAATAACAAAACTGAACTGCTAGAAGATTAAATGAAATAAAGTATGTGCTACTACCACAATTTACTGTACTGAATGCCTACTGCCACATTATAAAAGCTTAGTAATAGTAGCTGCTGTTATTCTAAGTGTATTCTACACCATTCTACAATGGTGACTACTCTTACCATTATTCTCTAATTATTTTACTGACAATGCAATTTCTATCAAAATTCCAATGTTAATATTTTAAAGGCTAACCATTTGTCTCATACACTAAACCTAGTGTCTCATACACTATATTAATATATTTGGCAATAGTTACTAATCATTTACCACATGACTCAGCAACCCTGCTTCAGGAATTTATCCTCAGATATACTTGCACATGTATGAAATGCTGTATGTACAAGGCTATTTAGCACAGAATTGTGTGTAACAGCAAAAGATCTTAAACAACCCAAGTGTTCATCAACAGAGGGCTGGCTAAATAAATTAAAATTATGTGTATACAAAGGATATTATGAACCTTTAAAAAAAAAAAAGGAATGAGGAAGCTTTCTCTGTACTGATGTGGAAAAATTGCCACAATCCATTGTTCAGTGAAAAAAGCAAAGTGCAATGAGGGGAAAATAGTCTTTTCAATAAATGGTGCTGAGACACCTGGATATTCCATAGGCAAAAGTGAAGTTGGTCCTCTACCTCACATGGTACATAAAAAATTAACTCAAAATGAATCAAAGACATAAATATAAGAGCTAAAACTATAAAACTCTTAGAAGAAAACACAGGCATAAATCTTCATGACCTTGGATGAAGCAATGATTTCCTAGATACTACACCAAAAAGCACAAGCAACAAAACTAAATATAGATAAACCAGACATGATGAAAATTTAAAATTTTTATGCTCCAAAGGACACCATCAAGATAGTGAAAAGACAATCCCACAGATGGGAGAATATTTTTGTAAATCCATGTATCTGTTAACAAACTTGTATCTAGAATATATAAAGAATTATTACAACTCAATAACAGAAAGACAAAGACCCAATTAAAAATGAGCAATGGATTCGAACCGAAATTTATCCAAAGAAGATATACAAATGGCGTGAAAAGATATTCATCATCATTAGCCATCAGGGAAATGAAAATCAAGCCCACAAATGAGATACCACTTTATACCCTCTAAAATGGCTATAAAAAAGACAGATAATAACGAGTGTTGATGAGGATGTAGAGAAACTGGACTCCTCTTACACTGCTGATAGGAATGTAAAATGGTACAGCCACTGTGGGAAACAGTCTTGCAGTTCCTAAAAATACATTTACCACATTATCTAACAATTACATTCACTGATACATAACCAAGAGAACTGAAAAAATATACAGTTCAAAGATATTGCAGGTTCAGTTCCAGACCACCGTAATAAACTTAGTACCATGAATTTTTTGGTTACTCATTGCATATAAAAGTTACGTTTACACTATACTGTAGTCTATTAAATGTGCAACAGCATTATGTTTAAAAAAATGTATGTACCTTAATTTCAAAATACTTCATTGCTAAAAAATGCTAACATCACCTGAGCCTTCAGTGAGTCATAACTTTTTTGCTGGTGGAGAGTTTAAAATATTGCAAGAATTACCAAAATGTGGCACAGAGACATGAAGTAAGTAAATGCTGCTGGAAAAATGGAGCTGAACAGATCTGTTTGATGCAGGTTGCCACAAACCTTCATTTTGTAAAAAACACAGTATCTGCAAAGCATAATAAAGTGAAGCACCATAAAACGAGGTATGCGTGTATTCATATAAAAACGTGTACAGGCTGTTAAAACAAAACAAAAACATGAAATACTGATTCATGCTACAACATGGGTGAATCTTGAAAACATTATACTAAGTGAAAGAAGCCAGACATAAAAGACCACAATTGTATGATTCCATTTAAATGAAATGGCCAGAATAGGCAAGTCCATAGAGACAAAAAGTAAATTATGGGTTACCAGGAGGGAGAGGGGGAATGGTGAGTGGCTCCTAATGGCCATGGAGTTCCTTTCTGGAGTAATGAAAATGTTCTAGAATTAGATAGTGGTGATGGTTGCATAACTTTCTGAATATACTAAGAATCACTAAATTGTACACTTTAAAAGGATGAATATTATGCTATGTAAATTATATCTCAATTAAAAAATAATGAATGTGAATCAGCTATACTTGTCAGTTAAAACCATAATGTACCAATTCACAAATTTTGTGATTATCTGACATTTATGCATATAATCTCACAGTTCCCTTTTCTAAGATGCTGGATGAAAGTAGTCTTTAGTGCTAATCTATTACCCAGAAGTATACAAACTAGAGTTTCTCAATCAGAAAGTGTGGTTTTTCCTTCAGGTAAAAGAAAGACTGAAAACACAAGTATTCATGACTACATTCATGATTAGTCTTAATACCTATATTTTTGACACTTTAAAAACTCCTGACTTAAAATAAATTCTGGAGTACTCTTGGGCATTCATACCAGAGAATGAAAATTTACATTTGCAAAAAAATCTGTGTGTTAATATTCATAGTGGCCTTACTCATAATAGCCCAAAACTGTATACAGCCCAGATGTCCTTCAACAGGTGAATGGTTAAATACGCCGTGCAATATTACTCAGTAATAAAAATGAATGAACAATCGATACATGCAACAACTTGGATGAATCTCTAGGGAGTTATGCCAAGTGAAAAAAGACAATTCCAAAAGGTTACATATTGTATGTTTATATTTACATAACATTTTGAAATGACAAAACTGTAGAAATGGAAAGTAGATCAGGGGTTAGGGATGGGGACAGAGGGGAGTGGTCACAGGAGAGGTGGATGTGGTTATAAAAGGGCAACATAAGGCATATCTGAGATGTTTAGTACCTTGCTGTGGTAGTGGATATACCAATCTACACAAGATAAAATAGTATACAACACAAACGACTACAAGAAAAACTGGGGGCATTTGAATGAGATCTGTGGATTGCATCAGGGTCAATATCATGGTTGTGATATTGCATTATAGCTTTGTAAAATGTTACCACTGGGGAAAACTGTGTGAAGGGTAATCTCTCTGTATTATTTCTTACAACTGCATATGAATTTACACTTATCTCAATAAAAAATTTAATTAAAAAAATGATGTGGGGCTTCCCTGGTGGCGCAGTGGTTGAGAGTCCGCCTGCCGATGCAGGGGACGCGGGTTCGTGCCCCGGTCCGGGAAGATCCCACATGCCGCGGAGCAGCTGGGCCCATGAGCCATGGCCGCTGAGCCTGTGCGTCCGGAGCCTGTGCTCCGCAATGGGAGAGGCCACAACAGTGAGAGGCCTGCGTACCCAAAAAAAAAAAAAAAAAAAAAAAATGGTGCATATCAATGTATACAGTGTCCTACTTTTGGAGTAAAAATAAAATTGTACTTGTTTGTATTTACATAAAGAACACTGAAAGGACACTGAAAGTGGTTATCTTAGGGTGGGGAGAAATGAGATAGGAACAAGACTTTCCAATGCATAAATGTTTAAAATACTTTTATTTTTGTACTACGTTATATTACATGGTCAAAAAATAAGTAAAATATTTAAAGTACCTTTTGTTCAAAAAAGAGCTTAATTTAGTACACATTCTAATGCTTTGGAAAATGCTCCAATTTCAATTATCCATACCTCTAACCTCTGTGTCTGATCCTTGCCCAAAAGGTCACGAACTTCTTCATTATATATTTCCAAATAAGACACTCGAACCAAAAATCTGTAATAAAACATCATTAAAAAAAAAACAGTGAAATATTAGAACAGTTTTTTAAATGTGTTTATAAAATTTATACATCTTTCTTATGCTTGTACTTCTCAATATTAGAAAATATTAAGAATTCTCTTTTACCTTGTATCACCCTCTGCTTTTGCAATATGACCAAATATGTGAGCAAATGAATTTGGAATGATTCCTCTAAGTTCAGGAACAGCTCGAACACCTTCCATGGTAAAAGTTTTACCTGTTCCAGTTTGTCCATATGCAAAAATAGTCCCTGAAAATGATGAAGAGAATCAATCACTTCACAGAGTCATGCTACAGACCAATAGCTCTTAAAATTAATTCCTTTGACACCGTGATGCAATTTCTAGCCTGGATTTAAAGTTTATTCTTGTACAAATTTCACCTTTATTATCAGCAATTACAAGATGTACTGTATGCCACATGAGCATAGCACTGTTAAAGAACTAGAGTCAATGAAATAAATACAAAATCTGACACTTTAGCTAATCATAAGAAATTTCTTAAAATGTGTATATTAATTACTTAATGTGGACGTTAAATTGGAGAAGGTAGTATAATTACAGCAAGAGAACACAGGTTCTAGAATAGAAAGACCTCAACGTGAATCCACACATCTGCCATTTTTCAGAGACTTGACCTTAGAAAGTATATACCCAGAGATTATTTCCTCAATGGCAAAATGGGGATAAGAATGAATACTCTAGGGAGGGAGGGAGATGCAAGAGGGAAGAGATATGGGAACATATGTATATGTATAACTGATTCATTTTGTTATAAAGCAGAAACTAACACACCATTGTAAAGCAATTATACCCCGATAAAGATGTTTAAAAAAAAAAAAAGAATGAATACTCTACATTGATAGTAAGAACCAACTGAAACAATTTACTTCAAGTGACCAACATGACACCTGGCAAATGGTAGTTTTTTTCTTCTTATTCCTAAAATAAGTACATTATTTCGAAATAAAATGTTTTAAGTAACAGTTGTAAGGAATAGGGGGAATTAAAAAAAAAGGTGACAATACAATTATTACAAGTAATTACAGATACAACTTAAAATTTTCTAAATAGCCAAATTCATTCACTCAACAAATACTACACACCTGTGTCTGGCATTGTGCTAGGCACCGGGGACACAATGACAAACAAGACAAACACAATCTTTAATCTTATGATATGTCATCTTGGGGAGGACATACTAGCCAAATAATTATAAGCAGGATGAGTGTTGGGAAATGAGAAACACGGGAGTTCTAGATGAGAGTAAGGGACATAATCTGGGCAGGAGAACTGATGAAGGAGGAAAGGGGAAGAGGTCAGGGAAGGCTTTCCAGAAGAGGTAAGGTTTAAGATACGATCTGATATATAAGCAAGAGTTAGATAGGAACAGAGTGGACAGCCAGAGGCAAAAAAGAGAATGGAGATTTTGAAGAAATGTAATGAGACCAGAATGGAAGAAACAGAGATGGAAAAGGACAGTGGATGCAGATACAGCTAAAGAAATTAACAGGGGCCTAATCACACAGGATGATGAAGAACATCTTAAGGTTCTTAGAGCTTATGCTAAAAACAAAGTGAAGCCATAGAATGATTTTTCAATCAGAGGAATGACATCATAGTCACTTTGGCTATACTGTATACGAAGAATTGGAAGAAAGCAAGAGGAGACGTGAAGAAATAAGTTAGAGGGCTGAAGTAGTTAGCCAGATGAGAGATGGTGCTGACAATAAATAGAAGGGGATGAGAAAGGTAGAAGGATTTCAGAGATATTTAACAGTAGGATGTCAGAGATATTTAACAGTTAGAATCAAGAGGACCTGGAAAATAGTCGTAAGGGGACCAGGGAAAAGGAAGAATTGAGGGTGACTTTCAATTTCTGGCTTGACCAAAGGGATGTATGGCTACGCCATGTACTGAGATGGTGAACAACACTAGAAGAAATAACAGTTTGAAAGGGAAGATCATGAATTTAGTTTGGGGGTACTGAGCTTTAAGTCTACGATACACCCAAATGGATGTGTCAAGCAAGCAGGAGGATGGATGAGATTCATTTGCCACTGAAGCCATGGAGGTGGATGAGATTTCCTCAGGAGACAGTATAGTATGAGAAGATAGCCTAGAAAGTGACAGCATAAATGAAAAACGTTTCTCAACTACTACCACTCTATTCAGTTAACAACAACTTGTCGTCATTTTTGGACTTTCTATGAAAATAAATTAATCACAACAGAAACCATTTTTATACATGGGAATAATTAACAAGTCTTAATTTTTTCTAACTCACTCAATATTTCAAACTCTTGCATTAAGAATATAACTTACTGCATTCCAAGGAGCTGAAAATATCATGAACTCATATACTGCATTTTAGAAAAGACACCACAGCTACCACTTACTGATCATTTGCTAGGTGCTATGTCATGTACTTTACATGCATTCCTATTTAATTTTCACCCCAATCCTAAGAGCTAGGCAATGTTTATATTCCCACAGTTTAGTTGAGGAAACAAAGGTTGAGTTACTTGCTCAATGACATAATAAGTGGTAGAAACAAGATCTGAACACACTCCAGTTGGCTCCATAGCCCATGTTTTTTACCAGTATGTAATGACCAAAAAGAAATTTGAGCTCAAAATTAATACCTAATGCAATTTCTATAAATGCATTAAATATATGAATATTACTAATTTAAAAAGGATATTAAGTAACTAGAGAAAGAAGAACAAACAAAACCCAAAGTTAGTAGAAGGAAAAAATCATAAAGATCAAAGCAGAAATAAATGAAACAGAGAGAAACAAAACAATAGAAAAGATCAATCAAACTAAAAGCTGGTTCCTCTGAAAAGATAAACAAAATTGATAAACCTGTAGCCAGACTCAACAAGAAAAAAAGGGAGAGGGCTCAAATCAATAAAATTAGAAATGAAAAAAGAGAAGTTACAACGGACACCACAGAAATACAAAGGATTATAAGAGACTACTATAAGCAACTATATGTCAATAAATGGTCAATCTAGAAGAAATGGATAAACATATAACCTTCCAAGACTGAACCAGGAAGAAACAGAAAATATGAACAGACCAATCACAAGTACTGAAATCAAAAATGATTTTAAAACTGCCAACAAACAAAAGTCCAGGACCCGATGGCTTCACAGGTGAATTCTACCATACATTTAGAGAAAAGTTAACACCTATCCTTCTGAAACTCTTCCCAAAAATCGCAGAGGAAGGAACACTCCCAAACTCATTCTATGAGGCCACCATCACCCTGACACCAAAACCAAACAAAGATACCACAAAAAAAAGAAATAGGCCAATATCACTGATGAACATAGATGCAAAGATCCTCGACAAAATACTAGCAAACTGAATCCAACGATACATTAAAAGGATCATAAGCCACAATCAAGTGGGATTTATCCCCAGGATGCAAGGATTCTTCAACATCCACAAATCAATCAGTGTGATACACACATTAATAAACTGAAGAATAAAAACCATATGATCAGCCGCCGATTCCGGAGCCGAGGTCGCCACTGCAGCCACCGATTCTGCCGCCGCCGCCACTGCAGCCACCGCTGGAGTAATGGGCTTGGGAAGGAAGCGGTCACCATGCCCGGAGCTCCGCTAGTATCTTTGTCCCCTGCAGTCCTCCCACAGGAATGACCATGGATAAAAGTGAGCTGGTACAGAAAGGCAAACTCGCCGAGCAGGCAGAGCGCTACGATGACATGGCTGCGGCCGTGAAGGCAGTCATGGAGCAGGGGCACGAGCTCTCAAATGAGGAGAGAAAACTGCTGTCTGTTGTTTACAAGAACATGGTCGGTGCCCACCGTTCTTCCTGGCGTGTCATCTCCAGCATCAAACAGAAAACAGAGAGGAACGAGAAGAAGCAGCAGATGTGCAAAGAATACCGTGAGAAGATCAAGGCAGAGCTGCAGGACATCTGCAACAATGTTCTGGAGCTGTTGGACAAGTACCTTATTCCCAATGCTACACAACCAGAAAGTAAGGTGTTCTACTTGAAAAGGAAAGGCGATTATTTTAGATATCTTTACCTCATGTTTGCTTCTGTGATGGTTATATTGCCTAGTAAGCACACCTGTAGGTGTGAAAATAGTATAGCAAAAAGAAAAAACCCTGGTTATTGATGTACTCGATCTGTGTATGTCTTTTAAACAGTTCTAGTTTCCACCTTACACGAATAAACAGGAAAACTGTAAAAACTCAAAAGTGAAAAAAAAAATTTTATCAGTTAAAAAAAAACATATGATCATCTCAACAGATGCAGAGAAAGCTTTTGACAAAATTCAAAACCCATTTATGATAAAAACCCTCCAGAAGTCAGCACAGAGAGAACTTACCTCAACATAATAACGGCCATGTATAACAAACCCACAGCTAACATCATTCTCAACAGTGAAAAGCTAAAAGAATTTCCTCTAAAATCAGGAACAAGACAAGGATGCCCACTCTGACCACTTTCTGAGGTGGCATCTAGAGACAATAAACAAACCACTGTGTCAAACTCCCAGCAGGCTTACCAGGAAGCATTTGAAATTAGTAAGAAAGAAATGCAGCCTACACACCCAATTCAACTGGGCCTGGCACTTAAGTTCCATCTTTTACTATGAGATTCTAAACTCTCCTGAAAAGGCTTGCAGCCTGGCAAAAACAGCATTTGATTAAGCGATTGCTGAATTGGACACGCTGAATGAAGAGTCTTACAAAGACAGCATCCTGATCACGCAGTTGCTTAGGGACAATCTCACTCTGTGGACGTCGGAAAACCAGGGAGACGAAGGAGATGCTGGGGAGGGAGAGAACTAATGTCTGTCATGCCCTGTGATCTCTTCAGTGTCACTCTGTATCCTCCACGTATATCCCTTTGTGCAATTAAAAAAAAAAAGAATCGTACGTCAACTTTCAGTTTTTCACAGCCTCAGTCTAGCAAAAATGGTCCATGGGATAAGCAGCTGGTATTTGTATCTAAAACTCAGATTGGTCACATAAATGCCACGGCATTCTGAAGTTTTGATTTGGATTAACATTGACAGGAATACTGTGTGTTTAATTTTTTTAAAAAACAATACTGTGATTATGGGGTTTTGTAATTTAGCAGCACTCTTACTGGTAGAAAACAAAATAGACCTGAATTATGTGTAACTTTTTGGAAAGTTTAATTCAATTCAAAACAGTCACTGAAATACAGTTCCATTGTAAAGGTGTACAGAAAGTTATAGAG